AAGGTTATTAGGTATACACATCCACTGTTATAAAAATCATTCAAAAATTTTATCAACACTTCTTAACCCAGTTCACCAACAGCTTTTAATTCTCAAATAGTGATGTTATCTGGTCCTGGAGACTGGCATGTCTTCATGTGGTTTATAGCATTTTCTACTTCTGTTTTCCTTTCCTTTCCTTCACCAGCTGTAAACTCCAGTGGACTTTAGTCTGGTTCCACAACCTGAGTGTTGTGTGCACATCAGTTTTATAGATCTGACTTATTTCTCTATGTAGTCTATGTATTCATCTTGGTTGTTTTTATGTTTTGTCAGCTGTAAAATCTCCTGTCACAATTTCTTCTTCACTGTATTACAAAGTATTAGATTCTTAAGCTCAAGCCAGAGAACACAGATTTCCAACTAATCGATTATTACTGTCAAAGTGATCCCCTCAGTCCCTGGATACAATAGTAGCAAGTGAAAGAATGATCGTGTGTGGAGATTTCAACAGTCACTCACACAAGCTGGGGCTAGGATCACATGCATCAGAGGGGAGAGAGACTGGAGGACTGGCAGGATGAAAACAGATTCATCCTCATAAATAGCCAACCGACCCACCAACCTTCTACTCAAGAGCAGGGCATACCACTTCTGTGCCAGATCTAGCCTTTCATTCACCAGACATGGAATTGGAAATAACTAGAACTGTTAGGAAACAACTAAGAGGCAGTGATCACCGTCCAGTCTTTCTAACGATAGAAAAGCAGTCTGTTTTAATAAGTCTGCTATTGAAAGTGACACCTATTACGACTGTGTCATAAACAACTCAGTTCTGCTATTTTTTGTACAACGGTATTCTTATGTGTCAGAGACACCACTAAACAAAAGAGTTAGACAGGAGTAGAAAATAACTTCTGTTTCAGCTATTTCAGCTTGGCCATCTGCAAAAAACAGTTCTGAGATACCATCCTTTTCTTCCCTCTCTGCTTCTTTGCATATATTGTCGATGTATGTTATAAAAAGCATCCCTGTCTAACTCCTGAATTTACTTCAAAATGTTGCGATGTACCTGCTTCTGTTCTCATGCAACTTTTACTTAATGTATGTAAGCTCTTACACACTTCAGTTAGATCTCTGCTGATTCCATATCTTCTTAAGCAATCCCACAACATACTCCTATCCACTCTGTCAAATGCTTTTTCTTGCTCAATAAATACAACTTTGCATGTCTTATCATACTCTATTGCTCTTTCTGCCATGTGTCTTAATGTATACATTGTGCCTGTGCAGCTTCTGTTACATCTGAAACCCATCTGGGCTTCTGAAAGTTGCTCTTCTACTAATGGTCTTAATCTTCTTTCTATTAATTTGGCATGTTTTCCCGGTGTGGCTGAATAGTGATATTCCTTTGTAATTACTGAACTCTTTCTTACTTCCTTTATTTTTCCACATCAGTATAATTATTGCTGTTTGCCAGTCATCTGGTGTTTCCTGTGTGGCTTAATAGTGATATTCCTCTGTAATTACTGAACTCTTTCTTACTTCCTTTATTTTTCCACATCAGTATAATTATTGCTGTTTGCCAGTCATCTGGTGTTTCCTCTGTGGCTTGGATAGTGATATTCCACTGTAATTACTGATCTTACTTCCTTTATTTTTTCCACATCAGTATAATTATTGCTGTTTGCAGTCCTCTGGTGTTTCCTGTGTGGCTTAATAGTGATATTCCTCTGTAATTACTGACTCCTTTCTTACTTCCTTTATTTTTTCCACATCAGTATAATTATTGCTGTTTTGCCAGTCATCTGGTGTTTCCTGTGCTTAATAGTGATATTCCTCTGTAATTACTGAACTCTTTCTTACTTCCTTTATTTTTCCACATCAGTAAATTATTGCTGTTTGCCAGTCATCTGGTGTTTTCCTCTGTGGCTGATAGTGATATTCCACTGTAATTACTGAACTCTTTCTTACTTCCTTTATTTTTCCACATCAGTATAATTATTGCTGTTTGCCAGTCATCTGGGTGTTTCCTGTGTGGCTTAATCCTCTGTAATTACTGAACTCTTTCTTACTTCCTTTATTTTTCCACATCAGTATAATTATTGCTGTTTTGCCAGTCATCTGGTGTTTCCTCTGTGGCTTGATAGTGATATTCCACTGTATTACTGAACTCTTTTCTTACTTCTTTATTTTTTCCACATCAGTATAATTATTGCTGTTTGCCAGTCATCTGGTGTTTCCTGTGTGGCTTAATAGTGATATTCCTCTGTAATTACTGAACTCTTTCTTACTTCCTTTATTTTTCCACATCAGTATAATTATTGCTGTTTGCCAAGTCATCTGGTGTTTCCTGTGTGGCTTAATAGTGATATTCCTCTGTAATTACTGAACTCTTTCTTACTTCCTTTATTTTTCCACATCATATAATTATTGCTGTTTGCCAGTCATCTGTGTTTTTTCCTGTGTGGCTTAATAGTGATATTCCACTGTAATTACTGAACTCTTTTCTTACTTCCTTTATTTTTCCACATCAGTATAATTATTGCTGTTTGCCAGTCATCTGGTGTTTCCTGTGTGGCTTAATAGTGATATTCCTCTGTAATTACTGAACTCTTTCTTACTTCCTTTATTTTTCCACATCAGTATAATTATTGCTGTTTGCCAGTCATCTGGTGTTTCCTGTGTGGCTTAATAGTGATATTCCTCTGTAATTACTGAACTCTTTCTTACTTCCTTTATTTTTCCACATCAGTATAATTATTGCTGTTTGCCAGTCATCTGGTGTTTCCTCTGTGGCTTGATAGTGATATTCCACTGTAATTACTGAACTCTTTATTACTTCCTTTATTTTTCCACATCAGTATAATTATTGCTGTTTGCCAGTCATCTGGTGTTTCCTGTGTGGCTTAATAGTGATATTCCTCTGTAATTACTGAACTCTTTCTTACTTCCTTTATTTTTCCACATCAGTATTATTATTGCTGTTTGCCAGTCATCTGGTGTTTCCTCTGTGGCTTAATAGTGATATTCCACTGTAATTACTGAACTCTTTCTTACTTCCTTTTTTTTTCCACATCAGTATAATTATTGCTGTTTGCCAGTCATCTGGTGTTTCCTGTGTGGCTTAATAGTGATATTCCTCTGTAATTACTGAACTCTTTCTTACTTCCTCTATTTTTCCACATCAGTATAATTATTGCTGTTTGCCAGTCATCTGGTGTTTCCTGTGTGGCTTAATAGTGATATTCCTCTGTAATTACTGAACTCTTTCTTACTTCCTTTATTTTTCCACATCAGTATAATTATTGCTGTTTGCCAGTCATCTGGTGTTTCCTGTGTGGCTTAATAGTGATAATTCTCTGTAATTACTGAACTCTTTCTTACTTCCTTTATTTTTCCACATCAGTATAATTATTGCTGTTTGCCAGTCATCTGGTGTTTCCTCTGTGGCTTAATAGTGATATTCCTTTGTAATTACTGAACTCTTTCTTACTTCCTTTATTTTTCCACATCAGTATAATTATTGCTGTTTGCCAGTCATCTGGTGTTTCCTGTGTGACTGAATAGTGATATTCCTCTGTAATTACTGAACTCTTTCTTACTTCCTTTATTTTTCCACATCAGTATAATTATTGCTGTTTGCCAGTCATCTGGTGTTTCCTGTGTGGCTGAATAGTGATATTCCTCTGTAATTACTGAACTCTTTCTTACTTCCTTTATTTTTCCACCAAAGGTATAATTATTGCTGTTTGCCAGTCATCTGGTGTTTCCTGATCTAGCCAGGCGGTCTGGAAAATTTGCCTGACTCATTTTGCTACTGTTTTTCCAGCTGCTTTGATGGCATCTGCAGGGAGATCGTCAGCACCAGCCACTTTGTGCCTTGGTAATGTCTTTATTACATTTTCAACTTCTGCAAATAGAACTGCTGGCTCTAGTGTATCCGACTCTTCTGCTGTATTTGCTATAGTATTGCTGTTTGCATTGTCATCTTTATTCTTGAAATTTACTGGTTCTTTGACCACTGATCTAAAAATAGTCCCTACATCATTTGACCTAAACCAGGAGGTCAAAACGTTTTTTCGCTTCATTAGACCATCTAAACTATTTTTCTCTATACATAACCTTTGTTTAAGAGGGCAACAAATACTATGTGTTAAGCTGCCCTATACTACCAGACGCCTGTGTGTATTGTTGCGTAGAAAATACCTTGGCAGTTGGAAATCGAAAAACAGTAGCCTAACGTCGCTGCCCGCGCTAAATTTGAAATTAAAAATTTACCCAAAATATTTTAGGATCCTTGCTGGTGCATGTAGCTGCATGTACACAAAATTTAAGAATGGCGATTCAGCCATGTGTACATGTGGATTAGCACCTGAGAGAACAGATCAAGTCCTTTAAGACTGTCCAAAATCCAACATATCAAGGCAAACACTTTTGGCCAAGAGAAACATCGGTGCAGGTCAAACCTTACGGGTCGCTAATTGAATTACAACAGACAGTGAAGTTCATACTAGTGACAACACCGCAGATATAGATAATCTTTTTAAAGTGAACGTAAAAGAGAAGAACAAGAAATATACAGAATTCAAATATACAACAGCACATATTTATTGATGACACCATCAGGTCTTGGTTTTAAAATTTAGTGTACAATTTTTGTTAAGACTGAACTTTAGGTTACACATGGCAGTACAGGTTCTGTATAGAATCAGTTTTTTTTCTGGCGGTGACAAACAATACACAGTACCAATACCTTTTTTTTTTTTACCAGGCAAAATGTTTGAGTGCTTCTGTGGTAGATGGTTTGAGCTGACTACTGGCACTTTTTTAAAAAGCCCTGCGTAGGAACAATTCTGATTTATCCAAGGTGTCATAAATATTCAAGCTGTGATACTATCATCCATCACTGCATTCTACTTAACTTTTGTTGGCAATGTCTGATACCATACGTTTTACTTGCATAGATATAAAATAAAACATGCAAACTTGTAAATTATTTAACTTGAATTCAACTAGAGTTAGTAATATATGCCTCGACAGCGATGAAAGGGAATGTCATCCATTTTGTCGGCTATTTCTCTTCTGGTGTCCCAAAGATAGTGGTCCACCAAAATGGCACAAATGTTTGTTTTGCCTTCTCTCTGGTGAGAATCTATTTCATGCAAGTTGAGAATGTGATCCCGTACAAGCTGTGAGTGAAAATATAAACAATAACAATCAAAACTGCACAGAAAAAATTACTGATTGATAAAGAAATATTAAATCGGCTGGATAAAAGACAGCAAAATAAAATATCACAAAGAATATCATAAATAAATAAATGAGAATAGACATAAATACTCAAACACAGACAGGAACTGATGAAATGGCCAATGCAGTAAAACTGAATGAAATTCTATTAAAGATACACAAATATGTGCAGACAGAGACTTGACAGGCAAAAAAAATATAATGTTAATGATGCGTAATATTGATGAAGAATATGCTATTATAAAATGGTGGCATGAATGCACAAAAGGCTTATATGGTGAAGAAAGAGCAAATAACTCTGGTGGAAAGTTCTGGTCATTCGTCTACTTCTGGACTTTTGTTCCAAAACATGAGTTTTCTGTGCTTTTCCTGTTCTTCTCAGGAAGAACATGATGATAAACTGCACTCAAAAACAGTGGGTTGAGTTGGGTTGAGTTGATTCAAGAACCCTCATCACAGCACTCAGGGCATTCCCATACGCACCCTGTCTGCATCTTTTGCAGCCAGCACAGAGTTCCAACACCAGTGGCGCCAAAAGTAGTCTGATCATATGTCCCTCTTACCTTTCATCTGAACATCGAGTATCCACCAAATCCCCTCGTCACTCCTGGCTGCATCAAACAGACCAGACTGTAACAATCTCTTTGCAGTGCTCCCATGTAACCTTTAATGTGTGTACCTTATCATGAATCAACATGACACCAAGTTGTGCAGAGCCAACCACTCTGTCTGCCTGTTCATTTTCCAACACACCGGCATAACTCGGAGAAAAGATCCAGACAATACTCTTCACTCGTAACCTCCGAAGCGAAGCCTGCCACTCTGCACAACGCATGCCTGAATTTCCACCTCCATGGCACCTGCTGGCCACTCACTGCACTCCGGGCTCAATGTGATTATGACTCTACACAAGTCTGACTGCTCCGCTGGCACTTTGAGCCACTCCTCTCCCAACCCAATGTACTCCAGGATGCAAACCTGTTTGACTTTGTCCTCCGCTTGAGCCATCCGTGACTTCCCTCTTATTTGCTGCAGAACCTTTACTGCATGTAGTACTTCATGCAAAAGGTGATAAGTTTCTGCAGCTACTCTATGATCTGACTTTAAATGCAGTACCTTGAACCTACCTGCAACAGTTGGCAAACCAAGGATGTATCGCATACACACTACTAGGGTGTCTACGGTACATGCAAAAATAGCCCGTACAGCTGCATCCTGTATGCGCTCTAATTTAATCAGTTGACGCTTTGAGACAGTAAGCAGTCCCAGCATAAAATCAATCACTGAGAGAACCAAGTCCTGATACAGTGTAAACAACATTCTGTTCTATGTCCATTGCAGCCATAGTCTTAAGTGCATTGAATTTCTTTTAGAATCTTGTCACAACCGTCTCCATATGATCCTTGAAGGACAGGCTCCTGTCAAATGTATATATTAGTTTGCTCTCTCTGTTGACATTTCTACTATCTATCGTGAGACTTGGGACATCAGCACTGACACTCCTGTTGTCTAGAGAACACCATAAAATAGTTGCTTTTTCTAGGTTAGTTAGTTAGCAGGCATCACAGCAAACGAGCTTGGCCCATAATTGCTCAACTGTCGATGTCAGTGATTCCGGTCACAAACTGTGTGAGATATGCTGGATATTTCAAGTGAATGCCGTAGCCATACAAAAGTGTCCTCAGTCAGCAAAACACACGATTCGATCTGGCAAACCATAAGGTGCATGCCTCTTTAAACACGCTGAGACCAGGCGTCATCGCTAAAAATCAACTTCATTTGACGAATAGCTGGGCGATGAGTAGATTAAAACTATTCCTGACCATTCCCCGCATGTCCTCGGCCAAGTTGCAGCCACGGCCAGCAAATAAATATCAGCTATAGCACACCCCTTGTCACAGGAACACAACCAAAGAAAAATAGATCACCCATCATCGCCATTATGTACAAATCTGGAACTCAGTCAATAACCAATAATCACAGCTCATAGTGCCACCAGAAGCACTAAACTCAGCAGCTCCAGCTGCAAACCGGCCTTCCACAATCTTGCAACATCGAAACTGGAGGAGAAACGGCTACGAAAACAGTCAACATAAGCCAAGTTCTCAACCGTCATCTATTCCCTATCAATGTCGGAAACAAGCGGGTTTTTTTTCTAGGTGAATGACAGCACTCATTTCTGTACACTAGTCAGTCACTTTGTTTACTGCCGCCTGTAGCTCCAGGAATGTTTTATCCCTATCTCTGCCCTGCATTTAAGCAAGAAGATCTTCTGCAAATTTCAGCACCCTTCCAACTCCTGGATTTTTAGGCTTGCAGTTTTTGCTTTTATACACGTTAAAGAGCACATGAGATGGCTGATCCTGTGGCAGTCCCAGGGCTATAATACATGGCTCTGAGGTCCCTGAACCCAGAGGAGAGCAACCTGATGAGAATACAGATAGCTGTAATCCAATTCACCAACCAGGGACTGACCCCTTCACCACCAGTGTGGTCATCAAAATATCATATCTAATTCAGTTAAACACATTCTCAAGATCAAGCGCTGCCACCATCGTTTCCTGTTTGTTATGAAACCTGTCATAAAAGTCTAAGGCAAAAACGGCTGCATTTGACCAGGCATCTTTTCCTGGCCTGTGGCTCCCCAGACCTCTTGGAATAAGCTTCCCTCTTTCCAAAAATTCTTGCAGCTTGACAGCGACTATCTTCACTCAGACCTTCCCAAATGTATTTTTTAAAGTGATGATTCTAAAACCACTAAGCTTTGAATGATCCTTGCATGGTTCTGGAAGTGGGATTAGACAGTTGTCCACCCAATCCTGCATTATCAATGTTGTCCTAATACTCTGGTTAAAGCAGTCAGTATCTCCCTCAGACCGACATCACTCAGTTCCTTCATGTAGCCATACCTAACCCCATCAGGCCCTGGTGTAGTCTTTTTCCTGTTTCAAACTGTGTTTAATATCTTCAACTCGTATGATGTCTTCATAGTGCATATTTTTAATGCTGTCAGATAAATTCCCTTCTGTCTCCCTGATGTCTGCATCTTTATGATCTGTCTTCAGTATGAATCTCTGAAGAAATTACTCCCTTTTATGTTTGTTTGTTTTTAGGTGCACAACTTCATCTCTATAAATTGTTCCGATTGTCAAAGGCTATTTTTTTTCCCCTTAGTTGCCACAGTTTCCAGAATTTTGCTAGTGTTTTATCATCTTCAAACTTATTCATGAAAAATTCCTATTTTGCTTTTTGGCCTCTGCAGCACAGCGTATGAAAACCTCCACCTGATTTTTTTAAACATTTTTCGTTATCTCCACTTCCTCTCATGAGCTTTGGAGTGTTTGTCAAACTTTCCTTGGCTGCTTCAATGCAGCTCTCTTTGCCTTCCATACCTGTTCGACTTATTGGAGTTTTGACAGTCCTTTTAGATGCTCCCTGTCTGAGGCATCTAAGGAGGATGTTGGTCTATTCATACCAAAAGGTCTTGCATGCTCTCTCAGCCTCAACCTCACTGGATTTGGAAATCAGGACTGAAGATAGCAGGTGATACTCTCCCATGGTCCTTCAAGACAGTCAACAGCCCATCAAGAACTGATGAGTGGTAGACAAATGCCAAGTCAACAGCTGTGTCTGCATCACCAGACCTCACTGCCATTCTAGTGGGCCTCCTATCATTTATGCAGACTACATCAGAGTCAACCTTGGCGTCTGCATGGGGCAATTCCCTGTCAGTTTTCTCCACTGCTGTCCCATTCTCTGTTCTTCGCATTGAAGTCCCCACACAAGAGCAGCCTATCACCTGGTAACTCCTCCAGTTCCTTGAGCCAGTACTAGTGTTCCCTTCTAACAAAACAGTCTACCGTAGCATATACATTTATGAGGTTGCAGCTTAAGCCACCGATCTCCATCTGTATCCCTGAACCTCTCTTGCACTGTGGTTCCACTGGCTCAAGTCAATACCACATGCTTCACTTCTTCCTTCACCAGCAAACCTTGTCTGTGTTGCCTTGTCTGAGCAAGTTTCAGACTTGTGCAGGGTTCTTATCACTTTAGGTCGTGAGCGCAGGGACTGGCCAGCTGGTGCTGCAGAATCAGAAGTTCATCAAATGATTCATGACAATTCCCGCCCAAGTGATGTGATTATCTATATCGATGGCTCTGTGTCGAGGGGCAGACGAAGTGCATGAGGGTTTATAGCAAAAGGCGATTGGACGTCGCTTAGTACAACAAAGCCTTGCATATGATATCACAACGTCTAGTTTAAAAATGGAGGTGGAGGCAGTCACTGCTGCCTTCCGCTGGCTTGAGAATCAGCTATACACACATGCCGTGATTGTCACTGACTCACAGAGCATGTTGAGAAAGGTGGAGACAAGTATGCTCCGTGCAGAGTGGCAAGCATCACTTTAGAGGTCCTGGGTAGTCAGTATCCTTTGGATATTATCTCTAGTTTATGCTAGTGTGTTGGGAAATGAGCAGGCAGAAAAGAGTGGCTGGTTCCGCACCAATTAGTGGTGAATTGATGTATGACAAGCTAGATGTTGTGAGGGCCCTCTAAGAGCAAATGAACAGTGCGGGAGCGCAAACAGATTATTATGGTCTGAAGAGAATGGCACTGTTAGTTACCAGGGGGATCTGGCCGACGCTCAACACTCAAGGATAGGGCGATACAGATAGATATACAGTCAGACAGTTACTGGTGCCATCGGAATTTGAACTCTTGTTTGTTGCTGAAGATGGGGATGGAGCGCGTATTTGGGTGTCCCGAGTGCTGTGATGTCAATTCTTAATTCAATATGCTTTGGGGTCAGAATTGTAAAGACCTTATAGAAGGTAATACTGATTAAGTGGTTGCATTAAACATAGCAATATTTCTAACTGACATGGTGAAAATAAATATGCTGTAGGAATTTTTTTTAAATGTTTTTAATCTCTTACCTCACAGGCCCAGAGACTAACACCTCGTATCTCAACTTCTAGCTGCTCACCACTTGTAAATAAATACCCTGAAATAAATGGGTGGCTGTACAATTACGTTTATGAAGCTAAACTGGATACTGTCAGAGTGTGCAACTAAACAATAACTACGGTGGATACTGTCAGAGTGTGCAACTAAACAATAACTACACTGGATACTGTCAGAGTGTGCAACTAAACAATAACTACGGTGGATACTGTCAGAGTGTGCAACTAAACAATAACTACGGTGGATACTGTCAGAATGTGCAACTAAACAATAACTAGGGTGGATACTGTCAGAGTGTGCAACTAAACAATAACTACGGTGGATACTGTCAGAGTGCAACTAAACAATAACTACGGTGGATACCCTCAGAATGTGTAACTAAACAACAACTACGATGGATACTGTCAGAGTGTGCAACTAAACAATAACTACAGTGGATACTGTCAGAGTGCAACTAAACAATAACTACGGTGGATACCCTCAGAATGTGCAACTAAACAATAACTACGCTGGATACTGTCAGAATGTGCAACTAAACAATAACTAGGGTGGATACTGTCAGAATGTGCAACTAAACAATAACTAGGGTGGATACTGTCAGAGTGTGCAACTAAACAATAACTACGGTAGATACTGTCAGAGTGCAACTTAACAATAACTATGGTGGATACTGTCAGAATGTGCAACTAAACAATAACTATGGTGGATACTGTCAGAATGTGCAACTAAACAATAACTAAGGTGGATACTGTCAGAATGTGCAACTAAACAATAACTAGGGTGGATACTGTCAGAGTGTGCAACTAAACAATAACTATGGTAGATACTGTCAGAGTGCAACTTAACAATAACTATGGTGGATACTGTCAGAATGTGCAACTAAACAATAACTATGGTGGATACTGTCAGAATGTGCAACTAAACAATAACTAGGGTGGATACTGTCAGAATGTGCAACTAAACAATAACTAGGGTGGATACTGTCAGAATGTGCAACTAAACAATAACTACGGTGACATATTCAGAGAAATCCGATAATTATCAAATGTCCTAGCACTTGGCTCTCTTCATGTATGTCCATCAGTTTATTTGTTCTATAATTAATCATTTTATGCGGAGGCATATTTGAATAAGAAATGCACTGGTAAAATATACAGAGAGGACAGAAGAGTCAAGATTCAAAGTCCACCATTCCTCTTTTCCCATGTAATAAGTTGTTGTTCAGTTTGCACCACTTTGTTATTCTTGTGTCACTCTGGAGATGCCTTTGACTAGATCTAAAATATATTCTAGGAATATTTTGTGGTACTCAGAGAATTTCTGACTCACAATCAAACTAGAGCCTGTACTCTAATGTCAGTGGTCATGTGTCTGAATCTCAGGAATCTGGCCTGTCATATCAACCTAACCTGAAAATGGGTCCTATTTGAATTCATAGGCTACTCAGATTTATGGAATGTAAAGGTAAATGCCAGATACTGACTAAATCACTGAGTAAAGGCCAGATACTGACTAAATTACTGAGAAATGCCAGATACTGACCAAATCACCTAGTAAATGCCACAGACTGACTAAATCACTGACTGATTGCTACAAAAAATATAATTGTCTAAGCTTAATGATGTTATGAAATAACACAGTATTGATACCTGAAAATGCAAATGATCTACAACAATTACTGAACATTGTTTTGAGGGAGAGTGCAAGAAAACGGAGGTAATGGTTATATCAAAGAAAAGAATACCATCACAGTGTGATATTAGAATAAAAGGTAAAAAAGTTGGAAAAAATTCAAATATCTGGGTACAATTATAACATCAGATGGAAGATGTGTGTCAGAAAACAAGGAGCAGAATAGGTTAGGCTAAAGCTGCATTTCACAAAATGAAGAACATCTTGTGCAACAGGTCTCTCTGTTTGGGTGTCCTTAAAAAAAAATACTAAAATGTTAGTAAAAAAGTAAAGTAAAGATCCCTTTTCATGCCTTTCGGCGCATCGGACATTTGGGCAGAGCGTCCCATATTTTTACAGACCACCAGCACTCTGTGGGTAATGTGGTAAGCATTACGCCGGCTGTCTTTACTTTCCCAGGACAGCCCATCCTGGTACCCATTTTAGGCTGGGTCGACCTGCGACGTCCCATACCACGACAAAAATCCACGCAGCCTGCAGTGGGTTTCGATCGCGGTATGCTGGCTCACGAGTCGGACTCGCAACGCCTTAGCCACGGACGCCGCACTAAAATGTTATGTAGAACCTAAACTGCTGTATTGTAGTGAATCATGAAATATGAATGCACAAATTAGAAAAACTTGGAGGCGATGGCGATGTTGTTCCTCATACAAATGTTAAGAATCCCTTTGACTGCCAGAGTACCTAACGAGGATTGCTTGAAAGAAGCTAATGAAAGCAGATAAATATATACAGCTATAAGGAAAAGACAAGCGTTGTTGTTTGGTCATGTGATTTGGAGAACATTGTGACGACTGGGAAGATCAACGGTAGAACACATAGAGGAAGACCAAGAGAGCTGATGACGGGTGGACTGAGACCTTGGCATGGAAGGATATCATCGATGGAACTGATCCAGAAGACAGGAGACCAAGATTTGTGGACATTCCTGAACGCCTAAGCCAGTCGGCAGGGAACATGATGATGATAAAGCTTAATTGATAACAATAATCATGTTTTGTTTTTTACCTTTTAAGAGGGTATAGTGGATACATCCACTGTGTCCAACTGATATCTCAATAGGTATGAAGGAAATAGCCGTCCTTGACTTTCTACAGACAGTAATTAGTGGGTATGGTAAATAACACCTGCAGTAGGCACTGTTGAATTCCAGTTTTCTTCAATTAGCACAAGTACTCTTTAGCCGCTTATATGCTTGGGATCTCCCCATCCCCCCCCCCCCCCCCCCCCCCCCCCCCCCCCACCTTTTTATTTCAGACTCACGTGTACTTGATACTGATTACACTGGAATGTTATTCAAACCTATTTCTTCATACAACTACTGGGAAATGATCCAAGCAGAAAAAAAAAAAGCTCTATCTTAAGTTTGCGGTTGGACAGACTGATAGGAAATGTTTTATTCTTCAGGGACTTTTGCATGTCCAGAATAAAGAGAACAGTACTTTTTACAGAATGAATCAACTGATATTTCTGTTTTATGAAAAGTAATTAATTACAAAAAAAAAGTAATTATTGAAAAGAAATTTCCTATTTTACAGAAATTTCTTCAATTGATGGACAACACCTGGTTACTCTAGTAAGGTTGCAACACAATAATACTCATTACTGAAGCAACCAGGTGTCTGTAAATTACTCACTCAAGTGGCTAATAGTATTAAATAACAAACAAAAAATAATTAGCTGTTGGAGACAACAAGAATTAGGGCACTTTGCCAGCTAGAAAATGTACAGGGTTAACAGAAAATACATCAATTGTAAAGTCAGGTTTCTCATGAATAAGCAAGCATAGATAAGTTTTAGAGAACACAAAAAAGATGACATGGCAATGATCAATCTCTATCTGAACTGACCTTGCTTCAGTTTATTCATGAGCTGTTCTGAATATCTGAGAACTCCAAAATAAACCAAGGCTTGTGGGATTCTGAAAATTAGTCAAAGATCAAACATTTGCGAAGGATTCCTAAAAAATATAATAAACTGAAATTTTATATGCTGCACAAAAAGTGATTACACATGCACCATTTTTTAAATAAAGTTAAAATACTAAAGAAAAGTCTTATCTTTAAGCCTTGAGACAATATGGGCACATAGTGCTAGTTCAATATTTTATAAACCAATCAGAACATGATCAATTATGTGGTCCATTGTTACTGTTTTGTTCTGTTAGGGAACAAATCTTAGCTAGCTTCTGGATAGTTGTTGTTTTGTTGTTGTTTGTTGTTGTTGCTGGTTTGTGTGTGTGTGCATGCATGTGTGCGTGCGTGTATGCATGTGTGTGTGGGGGGGTGGGCTGCTGTGATGTAGCAATAGATGCTGAAAGTCATGGGTTCAATTCCACACTAAGCTGGATTTTTTTTTTTAAATGACCTTGGCTCTAAGGTCAATCAAGCCTAAAATGGGTACCAGGTGAAGTCCTGGGAAGTAAAGGCGGTCGGCCTGATGGTGACTATATCACCCATCAAGTGCTGATTGGTCTATAAAATATAGGTCTAGCACTGTGTGCCCAAATGCCTAATGGCGTGTAAAAAGGTTGTTTACTTGTAACTGTGTTTGTGTGTGCGTGTGTGTGTGTGTGTGTGTGTGTGTGTGTGCGTGCATGCGTTGTTTTGTTAGGAAAAAACTATTAATTTTGATTCTGATAATACTTTTATTTTGTCTTGTTCTATTAAGGAAAAATCTTTTTTCTTCCAGATTTTGATAATAATTTTACTTACTCTATTACTATTACCACTTTCTGTTCCAAGAAACACACAATTTATGATCAACTACTGTCCATGTGTATCAATTAAAACCTGATTATTTGCATATCTTTTACTTTTGGTTTAAACATATAGAAGACATTTTATTCTGACAGATATTTGGACATGCGACAAACACTGCATTCTTAACAGTAATAAACTCAGATAGTTCCATGGTGGCTATGAACCTCCTTGGATGTCTTTTGGAATTGAAAAAGTTAAAGAATATCTCATTTTAGATTTGTCCAACAATAAACAAAATTTGTCACCCTCATGTATCTAATAAACCTCTTCATCGGTTATCTTCTTTTTGTTTTCTTCTTCTTATTGTCCATGCATCACTGTCACCATGTCTGTCATGGAAGTTTTTTCTGGTAAACTGCCAGTCATTTCTCACAGTAGAAAACTAAAAACATTTAAACACAAATAATATTTAATGTGACAAATGACTTTACAAACCGGTAGTCTGCAAACATTGTGATAGTGTCAAAATCATGAAATTCTCCCAAGCCTTTTCCTTCACAGCATCCCCAAATGTCTCCAATTAAAATCTGTGCTCTCTTATATATACCCACTGTAACAAAAAAGATTGGTTAATATTAGAACAATGATACAGGTGAAACCTATTACCATGATAAAAGCATAACTGTTGTCGCAACAAACATTTATAAATTACACCTTCAAAATTTCAGCCCTCTGTTAGGCATCTTAATCTGTCAATGAACAGTTGTCTGTTCTCGTGTCACATTTGTGCTGTTATCACTTTCAGTATATTTATGTCTGCTTTGATAGACTGTATGTCTGAATTTCATTTGTTTTCCTCTATCAACCTTTTCCTTTTTTCCTTAAGTATTTTGTTTTCAAATACACTCTTAAATTAATTAATAATGTAATGTTAGTTCTGTTTTGTTTGCTCTAGAACTTGAAATTATGCCAGATTATCAAACCATTTAACAGACTGTACAATTTATTTCTAAAAAAAAAAACCTAAAATATTAGAAATATACATTTGATCACTTGTTCAGTTTATCCACATTTTAGAACTAGATAATGTTACTAGTACAGACAGAGAATTATATTCTATTTAACAAACTGATGTTTGGAAAGATACAACAGAAATACAGTTGTGAGTGATGTGAGCTATCGGGCAAGGGAGACAATTATTGCAGCTGGTAAATAATAAACATGAGTTGGTATTGCTGATATCAAAGGCATGAAGAAAAGTTAAGGTCATTATGTTGTATATGAGGAAATACTCCATACACCTCCCCCCCCCCCCCCTCACCCTTTTTTTCAGTGCCAAAAGGCCCTGTGCTGGTTTTATAAAACCCCAAATAAGACTTCACCCCACTTCCATGTCACAAACTATAGATATTGATCAGCATCTGATAAAACTGATTTGGCAAGAGATCTTGCAGCTGGTGGCACCTGGTGGTGCAGTCCAAAAGCACTCATCAGCCTACTCCTAAAGCATGGATAATGACATGCAATCAAAGACTTATTTGTGGAAAGGCTCACTGACCAATCTTACTTAATTCCTACTAAATATTTTATATTAAAATGTCTTGTCCCTTACATTCTTTCCAAGATGTATATAATGATCCTAAATATCCTATACTGCCACACTGAATGTGGTGAGTCATCTATGTGAAAAAATACCAGGTGAACATGTTATGAAATACTGTTAGACTAGCAGACGTGCTCTGTGTGTTGAGGAGGCAAGATTGAGAATGAGGTGGAAGTCCATCAATTGATTCGCAATTCTAGTCCTGATAATCTGATTATCTACACAGATGGTTCTGTATTGAGAGGGAAGAGAAGTGCCTGAGGTTTTATAGTGAAAGCCAATGGAAAATCTTTAGTGCAGGACAGCCTGCAATATGATACAACAAAACAACATATAGCATGAGAATGGAGGTGGAGGTGGTCACTGCAGCTGGCCGGTGGCTAGAGAACAAGATACATACACATGTCGTAATTGTAAAGTATTTTGAAAAAGGTGAAGACAGGATTGCTTGGAGCAGAGTGGCAAGCTTCACTCTCAAGGTTACGAGTAGTGAGCTTACGTTGTATCTTTTCTCCAGGCACTGCCGGTGTGGTGGGGAAACGAACAGGCAGACAGACTGGCTAGATCTGCACCGCTGGTTGTTAAATTGATACATGACAAGGCAGATGTGGTCAGAGCTATTTTGGGAACTAGTAACGAAGTCAGAAGAGAAACTAGATTATTATGTTCTGTCTGCTGACTTGACCCACTAGGTCCTGTAACTCAGCACTCTGTCTGCTGACTTGATCCACTAGGTCCTGTAACTCAGCACTCTGTCTGCTGACTTGACCCACTAGGTCCTGTAACTCAGCACTCTGTCTGCTGACTTGACCCACTAGGTCCTGTAACTTAGCACTCTGTCTGCTGACTTGACCCACTAGGTCCTGTAACTCAACGCTCTGTTTGCTGACTTGATCCACTAGGTCCTGTAACTCAGCACTCTGTCTGCTGACTTGACCCACTAGGTCCTGTAACTCAGCACTCTGTCTGCTGACTTGACCCACTAGGTCCTGTAACTCAGCACTCTGTCTGCTGACTTGACCCACTAGGTCCTGTAACTCAGCACTCTGTCTGCTGACTTGACCCACTAGGTCCTGTAACTCCTGCTCACTTTCTTCTAGTAACACTGTGTCATCAGCAGGCCTCAGACTGTCTGGTATTCTTCCATTGATATTCAGTCCAAGCAATTCTACAACTTGCTTCAAAAGTTTTCTGTATCTAGGTTGAAAAGACTTGGGTCTAACACACACCCCCCCTCAAGCGCTCCTTGCAATATATCTCTCTCTCTCTCTCTCTCTCTATCTTTGGTGAGTCGAAATTGTTGTCTCTAAGTGAGTAAACAAGCATGTTCACAAGTGTGTACGTGATTTTTTTCTTTAGTCATGCACTCTCTGTCTCACATACAGATTACCGCAGTCATGCACTCTCTTCACATACAGATTACCGCAGTCAACTGAAAACAGTGGACTTCCAATTGTGGCTACATCTAAAAAAAAATTTGATCAACCTTTCTTTCCCTTGAACTCTGCAACATCTTGAAAGCTGGAAAAGTACTGTACCACCAGCTTGAGTAAATGTTGAGCACTTTTATCAGCTTGCTTGATCACATTGACAAATCTGCCTTGGAATTTCTTTTAGAAAATTGTGAAAGAAAATAATACTTAAAACAGTGAGAATTTTTATACAAAAACGTACTATTCACAGATATAATACTACTAAAGCAAAGATGCAAAACAGAATACTGAGGTTTTATGTCAACCAAAATAAACAAACTTCTTAGGTCAATGAAATTAAGGACCCAAAAAATAAATGTTTTGACAGAAAGCAACCATACCAAAATATACCAATGTAGTCATCATTTCTGAGAAGATAAATGAGCATTTGCAGAGATTTCATTTATGTTAAGTTTGGTCATAACTATATATGGCAGAGCAACCAATATCATCTTTTCTATATTTATCTCCCCTAAATAACTCACAGCTAGTTTTTCTAGCCTTGCTTTGCCCTTTCACATAGACTGGAACAGAGATACCCAACTGTGTGCCGCTGCACCACGGGGAGCCACGACCTCTTCACAGGAGCACAACGAAATATTGTAAAAGCTTCATAATTAATTTAACCAAGACACGACCAGTAATATTTTTACTTAGGTAATTGTGCCGTGGAAAAATTTGTAATTGTAAAAAGGCGCCGCAACCAAGAAAAGTTGGGAAACACTGAACTAGAACATTGTTAAGTTCGTTAGACTGTTCAATGTTTTTACGAGCAAGATTGCAAACCTGGAAACACCTGAGTTGGCAGAATATTGACATTTGCAGATGATGTTCTCGTAAATAGGAAGGGGAGAGATCGGAATCAAATAACTGAAGCGTTACAGGCAACAGTAGATAAGGTGATCAACTGGTGTACAGAGGTGAGTGCTGTAATCAACCCAGAAAAGACAACTGTCCTGTGGTGTTCTTTGGACAACAGGATTTTTAGAGGTGATGTTCCCAGACTAAAAATAAATGGCTGGGACATCAAGAGAAACAACAGACTGTGGTGCCTGGGAATCACTTTTGATGGAAGTTTGTCTTTCAGGGATCGCATAGAGGAGGTTGTGACAAAGGCCCAAAAAGGTCTTAACTATTTTGAGTCCCAAGGAACGCATCATACGTTCATAGGTTACTGCCTAGAAGCCCAATGAGCGCATAATATGCCGATTTTATGTCTCTCTTGACTAAGCCTTGGGCCTGTGATGCTAAACCCTCTGGGATTCAAAGAGTTAATGCACTAAAGATTATGGCAGTGATGGACATGGAGCAGAGAATGCTATTCACACTTTACAAGCACTTAATCATCTCAGTGATTGATTATGGATTAGGGTTACTCACTTCTCGAAGAGGCAGCTAAGGAAACTGAAGCACATACAGAATGAAGCTAAGCGGGTTTTCCTGGGATGTACAAGAGACACCCCGATTGTGTGCATGCGATACATCCTTGCACTGCCGAATATTGCAGATAGGCTAAAGGAACTGCAGGCTAAGTCACACCTCAAAGTAGCTGCAGACAGGGAACACCTGCTGTGTGAAGTTTTGGCTGCAGGCAAGCGTCAGAGGCTGAAAAGGGGAAAATCGTGGATGGCTCAAGCAGAAGACACAATAAGACAAGTATGCATGCTGGAGAACATTGGGCGCGGAGAGGAGTGGGTCAGAGAACCAGAGGAAAAGTCTGACCCGAGTAGGGTCATGATCACATTGGGCCGGGAGTGCAGAGAGTGGTCAGCGGGTGCTACGGAAGTGGAAGTCCAACAGTTCATTCACGACAATTCACACCCAGGTGATCTGATTATCTATACAGATGGTTCAGTGTTGAGAGGAAAGAGAAGTGCCTCGGGTTTCGTAGAAAATCTTTAGTGCCAGACAATCTAGCATACGACACAACATCTAACATCAGAATGGAGGTGGAGGCGGTAACTGCCCCTCTCCGGTGGTTAGAGAACAAAATGAATACACATGTAATTGTAACAGACTCTAAAAGCAAGCTGAGAAAGGTGAAGACAGGGATGCTTCAAGCAGAGTGGCAAGCTTCAGTAGGAAGGTCACGGGTAGTGACCATACTTTAAATCTTTTCTCCAGGCTATGCCAGTGTAGTGGGTAATGAACAGGCAGACAGATTGGCTGGATCTGCACCACTGGGTGGTGAATTGATACATGACAGGGCAGATGTGGTCTAGGCCTTTTAGGAACAAGCAACAAAATCAGTAGAGAAACAAGATTATTATGACCTGGAGAAAATGAAGCACCTGGGTGTAACCAGAGGGTCTGGCCGGCTGACTTCATTCAGAAGAAAGGCAAGACGGACAGATAACCAGATTGTGACCAGTACCATCAGTACTGGAAGTCTGCTGAATATGAGGATGGAGCATACATGCCCCAAGTGCTGTGATGTCAATTCTTGGCTCAACTCAACTCAACTCTGAGTTCGTTAGTTGATTATACTTTACAGAACATTGGAGAACAAATCCTAGACTTTTTTTTTTTTTGCTGTTTGGTTTAACTAGACAGTATTACTTTCAGTAGTTTGCTCTTGCCTTATGAATGGCTGGCTCTTGATTCCATTGTCAAAATCAATGCAAAGAGGTCTGCTGTCAATTACCCCACAGCTGGAACCAAACCATGTATTTTGGAGTTACAAACTGCATTCATAATGCCCAAGCCACAGACTTTGACACATTGTTGAGACAACTCCCAGTTTTCTCACACACTGCACTTTATTTCCACAAATGTCTTCCTCTTGCACTGCATTTAATGGATTTTATAAGTTTAGCACATTTTTTACCTACATTTATTCTGTCTCTAAAGTTTACAGTAAACATTGCACTGAGCCATCAATGTGATCTTGACACATGATCACTGAAACACAACTTTTGCAAGCTTTAAGAAAAAAAGTGGTCTTTATATGATTAAACACATTGCTGGGTGCCTATTTTTTAAATTATTATTAGTGTAGAACTCTCTGAATTCTTCTACATAGGGGGTGATACTATAAAGGAAAACTATACCTCCAGCAAAACTTTTCCTGCCTCGTGAAGCACTTGTTCTCTCTCACTTAGCATGGGAATATCATAAGCAGATTCAGAGCGGAAGATTTTCTTCAGCGTATCAGAATCCACAGAAGCATAAAATGATGGATTTGTAAACTCATAGCCTTCCTGTCATGAATAAACAGAAACACATCTCATGTTCAAATAGTTTAGCAAGATAGATAACCAAAGTTTGTGTTTTATTTACGCCATGATTTTTTGTTCAGGCCCAAATTGTCCAAATTATAATTCAAAACTGATGAATAACATATATTTTTTTTTTTACTGTTAATGCTGCAGACCAGATGTCTACAAAAAGCATTCAATTGGGATTGATAAAGATTGTAAAGGATCCCTTTTGACACTGTGAGTTTTGGTGTGTGTCTAATGCTAGTTAGATTCTGTTATACAACATGGATACTGATGAAGACATGTTACTGCATCCACTTTTACCTCCTAGGTAATTCATTGGCGTCCATTTGAAGCTGTTCTGACCAGGACAGTGAACAAATCCTCACCTTAAAATAGGCTGTTTCAGCAGGCAAGAATGTTACAGGCTGCGTTGCTGCAGCTCAAAAACTGAGCACAATGCATCACAGACTGAACATACTGCATCACAGACTGAGCACAATGCATCACAGACTGAGCACAATGCATCACAGACTGAGCATACTGCATCACAGACTGAGCATACTGTATCACAGACTGAGTATAATGCATCACAGACTGAGCATACTGCATCACAGACTGAGCATACTGCATTACAGACTGAGCATACTGCATCACAGACTGAGCATACTGCATCACAGACTGAGCATACTGTATCACAGACTGAGCATACTGTATCACAGACTGAGCATATTGCATCACATACTGAGTAAAACCTGAGTTGTAAAAGTAAGTAAGAGACGATTTACACCAGAGCTATTCAACTGGCAATGGTGGGTGAGATCTGGCCCACAGAGACCCAGAGGAGCCTTGTCGGTTGTTTGTATTAATGGTCTGTCTATGTCGGGGTAACATCCAGGGGCTGTTGGGGTTGGTTCTGCAAGGTCCTGTAAGGAATACGAACTAACCTATGTCGGGGTTCAGGCCTCTGAGCCATGATGATCCCTATTTTCAAAATTGTGGCTCCTGAGCACATTTAGTTGAACAGACCAACTGTACATTGCTAGTGGCCTATCAGACGTACGATACTAGACTATTTTGGCAGACCAATCAGCACTTGATGGATGATGTGGTTAACATCAGCCCGGCTTCTTTTACTTTCCAGGACTTTACCTGGTATCCCTTTTAGACTGAGTCGAGCTAGAAGCCAAATTTTTATTTTTATTTTCTACTCAGTGTGGATACAAACTGAAGATGTACAGGCCAGCAGGAGTGTGTCTAGTGCCATGCCAGCAGGAGTGTGTCTAGTGCTATGCCAGCAGGAGTGTGTCTAGTGCTATGTCACAGGAGTGTGTCTAGTGCTATGCCAGCAGGAGTGTGTCTAGTGCTATGTCAACAGGAGTGTGTCTAGTGCTATGCCACCATGACTTCACATGTCAGTTGGAAAGTGATTTAACTAAGATGATCGTTCAGTAACATCTTCCACTTGTGCATGCGATTTATAATCATCATCATCATTAAATGGCTTACCAACTGACATGGGCAGTGGTGATTAGAGACTGTCACTGTTGCTCATTAATTTAGTACCTCGGTATACGTAATTAGTCCGTTCCTTATCCTTGTTAATATAACAAACAGTACATATTGCAAATTTTTTTTTTTTTGATCAAAGATAAAAGGAGAATGATTAATCAACTTCCATGGAAAAAAATCCTGTTGCTACTGGCATATTACACACTGACGTGGTTGCATTAAATAATTGATATACTGCCCAATACTGAAATACATAAATACAAAAGCAATTAGATTAAATAATTGAAAATATAAAACCTCCCTTAACCTTTAAAAATGTTACTGAGAAGATGTTACTGAGAGAGAAGATGTTACTGAGAAGATGTTACTGAGAGAGAAGATGTTACTGAGAAGATGTTACTGAGAGAGAAGATGTTACTGAGAAGATGTTACTGAGAGAGAAGATGTTACTGAGAGAGAAGATGTTACTGAGAAGATGTTACTGAGAAGATGTTAGTGAGAAGATGTTACTGAGAAAATGTTACTGAGAAGATATTACTGAGAAGATGTTACTGATAAGATGTTACTGAGAAGATATTACTGAGAAGATGTTACTGATAAGATGTTACTGAGAAGATGTTACTGAGAAGATGTTACTGAGAAGATGTTACTGAGAGAGAAGATGTTACTGTGAAGATGTTACTGAGAGAGAAGATGTTACTGAGAGAGAAGATGTTACTGTGAAGATGTTACTGAGAAGATGTTACTGAGAAGATGTTACTGAGAGAGAAGATGTTACTGAGAAGATGTTACTGAGAAGATGTTACTGAGAAGATGTTACTGAGAAGATGTTACTGCTTGGAAGGAGACTCCCTTTCCAATAAAATTTCAGGAAACTAATTGTGGTGTGTTTTTGTCTCTTTCTTTCTTTTTTTTTTTCTGTCTCTTTTCGCTACTTAGAGCTGGTTGAGGTTCATCAGGTTTGACTTTTACTAAAAATCTGTTGAAAGAAATTTGGTTCTGCCATCTCCTCGGGATGTTTCAGAAAAGTGACAATGCTTGGTCACCCCAGATAAAGCTATTACTGCTTGCTTGGGTTTTGTTGGCGTGATACTTCTCTGAGAAGTCAGGATGTATACCAAGCTGATTGTATACTGAGGTACTACTACAGTCTGGTCAATAGAGTTGCACAAAAGTTGTTGAGAGATAAAGACCTAGTAAAGATATTACTAAGAATAATAATGAGAAGAATTAGAAACAAGATCAAACCAGAAATCAGTGAAGAACATCATGGATTTGTCGAAGGAAAGGCTACAAACAATGCTATATACATCCTCTGGACACTATCGGAAAGGCTGAAAGAGGGCGTATGACAAGGACTTGTATTGTCACCTGATTTATCTCCATACAGTGAATAATTGAGGGGAAACTCAATAAGTAAGTCCCAAATGGTAACTCATTTTAAAAAATTTAAGGCGATAACTTGCAAAAAACCATTTATTTTGACACACACAATGTCCCTTTATTTTTCAACATAATTTCCACCAACTCTGATGCACTTGTCCCATAGTTTCATCAGTAATTCCAAACGGCTGCACAGAACTGCATGTTCTGTTTTCTAAACCACATTTTCACTTCACATTCAACAATCACACACATGCACCACTTTACGGAATAAACATTTTTCAGCATAAACAGAAAGCATTTCCTTATGAACATTTTTCGCAGGCAGCTTCCCCCCCCCCCCCCCCCAAATTTCACAACAGCATGTTGATCTTTAAGGGTACACTCTGAAAGTACAGTCACTATTTTGTTTCTGTTTTGCGAATGCATATGCAACACCTAGCGCCACCTAATGAAAAGAAACATAAAGTTCGATATTGCTGTCACCTAATGACACCTTTAGAAACAAACACTAGACTGCACAATTTATTGCCTGGCATATTTCGCTGTATCACATCAGATGCATACTACAGTAACAATTACATAAATGAAGCAGATAAGTGATAAGTTTTACCAGGGCAGCCTCAATGTCAGAGCCAGATCTTTCTATAGAGCTCAGGGCACAGGAAATCTTAGTGTTCTGCCATTGGCTGACGTGTAAAGGATTTTAAATGTGTTGTCCTTGGTTGCGGTGTGTCCAGATTTTGACAGATAGAGTGCTATTGCGAAGGAATTATCTTTATGGCCAGTATTCTCATTCAGAATATTATTTTGCATGGCTTTTTCCACCATAATGGAATGTGCTCAGCGAATCGTTTCTCCAGGCGTCGATCAGTTCTGTCCACATAAGCAGCTTCACAACTACTTTTAAATTGGTATATACAATTTGATTTGGTGTACGTCGACACTGGTTGTTTTACCGAGGGCATAGGGATTACAGTGGTTTTAAATCTGATAACAGGCCAGGCTGTGTACAAAGTCTGGCTGCAGTTCTGAGCCGGTCATATAAATGTTGCATAACTGTTGCAAAGCGATATGAAGGGTGTATCGTCTCCTGACCAGGTGTCTAAAGGTGGCTGAGTATGCCTCACTCATATATGCAAAAGTTCCCCAAACTGACTTTCTGGTGACTAATGGAGCTCCCTAGCTGAGAGCACCAAATCAACACAGTTCGCATCATACCACTAACAGTCAGCAGCCGACCATATCAACTATATGGGAAGAGTCATCTCTATAATGATGCATCAGTCTATTTATTGGGACGAAACACAGTGTGACGATGAAAATGAATTAGAGGTACAGAACACTGTCCATTTAATGCTCCACCTATACACACTGATACGCTTCTAAGGCAGTGTCACATGAAAGGGAACACCTCACCTCGACTCGGCGTGAGTCCACAACATACGCCTTGGGCCTACTGGCCCACTCTTGTGGTCACCAGTAGTCTTAATGAACACTTCGGCTGTGTGCCCACACTTTGGGTCACTAATAACCTATAAGTAATTAATGACTAGAAACTCTGCCCCACCATCATGCCCTCGCTGACACGATCATGCCCTCGCAGTTCAGCCACAACTCACCGCCCGACTTCTGTCAATCATAGTGGCAAATAACATGTTGGGCTCTACACGCCTTGTCTCCACAAAATACACGCAACCGGAGCATTAAGACTCAAACACCAAATTCTAATGATCAAGCTAAACTTTTACTGGCCTAAAATGATACACATAATTACTGTAAAAAATTCAGACATCTGGACATGCGTGCGCCCGATCTGAACGACTGACAGAAACTAACTGGACAAGCAGGGTTTGCACCCCCTGCTCAGCGTCCGGCCCTCGCTTGGTTCTCGCTAAGCGCATGCAACCTGCTGTTAGTCGTGAAACCCCTAAAAAACCTCTTTCACAACCTTGTACATAGTGAGGACCTTTTCGCACTTGTCTCTCACCTCTAGCAACATCGACCCTTTGCCCACTTCTCTGTTACCATCATCATCCAGTGCCTTGCCTTCACTACTGGTGTAGGCAACCACGCCTCTGCTTCTGGTACTATTGACCAGCAAGTGAATTCAGCACACAACAATAACATCATCTCACTGAAACGCTTAGATGGATATCAACTAAATGTGTTTTTTTTTTTTTTTTTTTTGCACAAACATTTCTATGGTAATTGGTCAGGGTGGCTGGCAGGGGCGTTTTCAAAAAAACCACCTGGATATTCATGAGAAAGCAATGTTTGTTTAATCATTTCAAATTCTGTTTTTAGTGTGTCGCTGTAACAAATCTTTCTAGTGCAGTTGAATCATGTCCGCACTCGGCCACACTTGTACTGCATGGGTGCACAGGTGTTAGAATGTATGTACTGGCCTGTCCAAGTGTCTTTATGATAAACTGACCTTTCAATAGTGCCATCATCTCTACATCTGATTAAAATGTCTAAAAAGGCCAAGACGTTGCTACTTTCATGTTGTAGGGACACTGCAATGTTTTTGTGCATTTAGTTCATTTTTGTTTGAAATGACTCTGCCTGTTGCTTGTTAATGGCGATAAGTATGTCATCCACATAACAGTAAAATACCAAACTATCAATATCAATGGACATCTGTTCCTTCAAGTGTGCCATAAAGATGTCAACTAGAATAGTGGCCCAGAGGGTTTCCCATGGCCACGCCATCAATCTGGCGGTGAGACCGCTTCAGAAAATGGAAGTTGATGTCAGACGTGCACAACAGTAAAAGTTCCTCAAGTTTTAAAAAGGGTCAACCTACCTGCAGCTTTTTGTTTTCTATATGGTCACATATAATTTTCAGTTTCTGCAGGTCAGCATAAACAGGAAGCATTTCCTTATCAATGTCCTTTGCAGACAGAACTTTTGCCTGAGGGGCAGGGAACCAACAGTCTGCATGCAAATGAGTCAGACCTGTTAAACGGATGTACACGCAACACTCAGGTTCTTGAACAGGACTAAAGTCCAAAAGTGGATGAACAACCAGAACTTTCCTCCGGAGTTTACAGCTGGTGAAAGCAAGAAAAAAGAAGAAAAAAAAAATCATAAGGTAAGGAGACTGAACTTGAATTTCTTTTAATCCTCATTACCGCAATCGTTTATTTTGAAAAAAAAAATTAGAACTGATTGAATCCCCAAAAACTTGCACAGTTCAAAAAATAGTTCCCAATTTACACCCGTGTGTTTGTGATGGCACTTGTAGTTCCCGATTTGCGATCTTAGGACCCTATTGCTCGCTGTGGAAATTCATACAATAATTTGTTCATGCTGCAAAAACATTTATTATTAAAGCATAGAGGATTCCCTCACAAATATCATCTATTCCTCATCAGGGGGCCAAGCAAATCTACAGAATTTGAACATCACAGTAATTCAGTCAAAAACCTGCACAAGGAACATTCTGAATCATGCTCAATGAATCCTTTAATTTATTGTGCAAACATAATTGTAGTAGTCCTTGACTCAAGGCAAAAATCCTTGAACTCAAGCAAAAATCATGATTTTTTTGGTACTCCCATGTCATTTTGATTGCCATCACCATTCAATTGTTTTCCAATGTCATATGAAACTAAACACAGCTTCATCTATGAACATGCCATATTTGAAGCTGGTTACACACAGCCGTGACCTTGCTGATATGACGAAGCGTCAGTGTGACCTTGTTGAATGGCAAACACACATGAGGCTTCAGCTCGCATACAAGAGCACAGCAATTCATGGAAGTAGCTGATCATAGTAAATACCAGACATGTGTAAACTCTTATCACTTGACGTTCACTAGTACATGTGAAAAACTCATCATTTTAATTTTAATTTACTAGTAACAAGAGAAAAGAAAGACAGACACTCACAGTTAAGGCTCTGTTGATAGCAGCACATAATGCCCAGTAACCAGTGTATTCTTTTTCTTTGTATTTTACTATGTACTTCTCCGTCTCTTTTTCTGACCAGAATGAAAAGTTCAAGACAGCAGATACAAATACCCTATTTTTGAACAGAAAAACAAAATTATAATCACCAGCAGTTCTACACAGAAATTCAAAGGAAAACAAAAATTGTTCCCAAAAAATATATTTTTGAGAAATAGCTCTTAATACAGAAAGTGTGTTTATGTTATGGAACAGAAACAATTAATAAATTGTAGTTTTCCACAATTTAAAATAAGCAAGTAACTATATTTTGTGTCGATTACTAAAGGTTTATATTTATTTGTAGAGTTACAAATAAAAGAACAAACTGTACAGTAAAACCTTTCAAAGTATTATCTATGTTCTCTAAACATAAAATTAGAGACACACAGTATTGAATGCCACTCGAGTAATTATATGAACTTTACTGTCCTTTTGCAACTTCAAATATACATTACTTCAAGTGAGGTGTTTATCTAAGCTGGCACCAGATATTCCTTAGACTAAGAGATTGGCACTAAAATTGGCTAGTGATGTTGCTGATTAACTGGGCAGACAAAGTTTCATACATGCCTGAGACATTTATAACATAGAGAAACTTTAAAGATGTTAAACTCACTCCTGAAACTGGACTAGTCTACTCAGTTGTTAGTCAAGGTTTCTACTTCGCTGCAGACAAGTTGCCCCACAACTAAATCTCCATCCCTGTCCCATTTTGAAAACTGGTGAAAAACATTGTCAGTCCCAGAAAAATCTTGAAGCTTGCACTCGCAAAGTTAGAAACAAGGTTAGAAACAAGGTTAGAAACAAGGTTAGAAACAAGGCTAGAAACAAGGCTAGAAACAAGGTTAGAAACAAGGTTAGAAACAAGGTTAGAAACAAATACTTTTCAGAGCATCCGTGGTAAGTCATCAATCTACCACACTGAATCGAGAAGTCTAGGATTGGTCTTATGAATACCTAACCTCCTTAAGAAATTTTTTTTTTACGAAAGTTCTGGTGTATGATGATTCCTCAGCAGTTTGAAATCAAACAGAATAAGCAGAAGAGATACAACCCAAAGCTAACTAAAAAAAAAAAACAGACACCTTACCAACAAAATATAATGTTAAGATCATGTGAGATTCTGATTAACACTATAAAAACCTAACTTTTGATGCATTGTGTTGAGCTGAAGTTTGTGGGATCTACAGGAGAAGATGGGAGCACTGACTGAGGTATCTGAATGTTTAATGAAGGTGATCCTTTTTAAACTAAACCAAACCCATAGATCTAACTTACTTTGATTCACAACAGATTTCTGCATGCAAAAGCAAGGAGACTTTTATTTAAACACTATAAATTAGTGTCGCCTGAAATATTTAATAGATCTTTGCATTTAAAACCTACAAGCAATAAATCACACACGCACAAATATAAAAAGAAACATCATCAATCACAATACTGAAATCATGCTTAGTTAAAGTAAAATCAATACTAATCCTAACAATAAACATATACCAGTTAATGGCCTAATCCTAACAATAAACATATACCAGTAATGGCCTAATCCTAACAATAAACATATACCAGTTAATGGCCTAATCCTAACAATATACCAGTTAATGGCCTAATCAACAATAAACATATACCAGTTAATGGCCTAATCCTAACAATAAACATATACCAGTTAATGGCATAATCCTAACAATAAACATATACCAGTTAATGGCCTAATCCTAACAATAAACATATACCAGTTAATGGCCTAATCCTAACAATAAACATATACCAGTTAATGGCCTAATCCTAACAATAAACATATACCAGTTAATGGCCTAATCCTAACAATAAACATATACCAGTTAATGGCATAATCCTAACAATAAAACATATACCAGTTAATCCTAACATATATCACCAATAAACATATACCAGTTAATGGCCTAATCCTAACAATAAACAATACCAGTTAATGGCATAATCCTAACAATAAACATATACCAGTTAATGGCATAATCCTAACAATAACGTAACCAGTTAATGGCCTAATCCTAACAATAAACATATACCAGTTAATGGCATAATCCTAACAATAAACATATACCAGTTAATGGCCTAATCCTAACAATAAACATATACCAGTTAATGGCATAATCCTAACAATAAACATATACCAGTTAATGGCATAATCCTAACAATAAACATATACCAGTTAATGGCATCCTCATCCATTGTTTGTGGATTCAGTTCGTGGCCACGCCACATGGTAACATCAAAATCTCCTTTTTTTACTCTGTCATGAAGCTGTGAGATGAAGAAAAAAAAAAGGATTAATTATGTGTGGCCCAAACAACAGTTTCTTTAAATAGCTAGTATGTGAAACGAATAATGGCATAAGATAGACACTGAATGAAGTTAAAATCAAAAGGATTGACTATTGCAGGGTTTGATCCCATATGGCTAGTCTCTCTCTGTAAAACAGCTAGTCACCTGCCCAGTGTGTTGCACAAAGCTGATCTCCAGGGGTCACCATAAAATTGCAACTGTTAACCAAATGATGCAATCGTGAAATGAATCCATCACCTTCAGAGCAGGAGGCAAATGGCTTGACCACTGCACCAGAGACCCACAATAAGCAATTAGGTAAGCCAATTGAAACAACAGAATATAACATGGAAGAGAAATATTTAAAGTAAAAACTTCTTATATGCCATGCTGTGTGGTCTTGGTAGTCATGTCTATCCACAGCTTTGTTTTGAGTACTTTCAAACAATTCTGACACAAATGATCTTCCATACCATGATGTGAAACTGTTAAGCATCTCCTGTCTTTCACATTGTCACGATATTCTCCAGTTTTATCATTCCAAAGTATGTAGACTATCGCCTTCTGATATGGACAATCAGTTTCCTTCATGAGTAAATTTCTTTCAAGACATCTTTATTACTTTTTTTTTTATCTGTCCAAAGTGTTCTCATCCTTCATCAACAACACAAAATCTCTGCCACTTCCACAAAATGTGTCCCTAATCAGCTAATTGTCCATGATTCACTTCCATGAGTTGAGTTAAGCCAAGAATTGCCATCACAGCACTTGAGGTATTCCTATGTGCGCTCCGTCCTTATCTTCAGCAGCTAGCACAGAGTTCCAATACTAATGGTACCAGCTGTAATCTGGTTATATATCCATCTTGTCTTTCCTCTGAGTGTAGTGAGCCGACCAGACCTGCTGGTTACACCCAGGTGCTTCATTCTCTCCAGGCCATAATAATCTTGTTTCTCTTCTGACTTTGTTATTTGCTCCCAAAAGGCTCTGACCACATCTGGCTTATCATGTACCAATTCATCACCCAGTGGTGCAGATTCAGCCAATCTGTCTGCCTGTTCATTCCCCACCATGCTGGCATGGCTTGGAGAAAGCATCCAAAGTATGCTACCCGTGACTTTCCCATACTGAAGCTTGCCACTCTGCTCAAAGCATCCCTGTCTTCACCTTTCTCAGCATGCTTTTAGAGTCTGTTACAATTACATGTGTATACATCTTGTTCTCTAGCCACCGGAGAGGGGCGGTTACCGCTTCCACCCCCATTCTCATGCTAGATGTTGTGGTGTCGTATGCTAGGCTGTCTTACACTAAAGATTTTCCACTGGACTTTGCTACAAACCCTCAGTCACTTCTCTTTCCTCTCAACACTGAACCATCTGTATAGATAATTAGATTCCCTGGGTGAGACTTTCGTGAATCAACTGTTGAACTTCCTCCTCCGTAGCACCCACTGGCCACTCTCTGCACTCCCGGCCTAATGTGATCATAAGTCTACATTGGACACTCCTCTCCTCTCCTCGCACAATGTTGTCCAGCATGAATACTTGTCTTATTGTCTTCTACTTGAGCCTTCCATGATTTTCCCCTTTTTCAGCCTCTGACCCTCACAGGCTCAAGGAAAACTTACAAACCATACTGGTCTAAGAGGCTGAAAATTATGGAGGGAAAATGTCAAAGAGGCCAGAAAGACAGCAGAAAGAGAACAAACGACTGAAGCAGACGTTTCACTAAAATCCATCTCAGCAACTGGGGGTACATTTGCTATGTATTGCTTTGTTTAGACTTTCCGCTAATTTGTTTTTTATATTGCTAAGTCATGTTTTTACCGTAGTTGTCTGTGAGATCATAGCAAATTTATCCCACTCAGCTGGTTTGTAATTGCAGCAAGGCAATGATTTTACTCCTGTGAGACACAATACATATTTACGACAAGTTTCACTGGTCGGTGATCACTGCTTGCTAACTGATCTAATACATTTTGATCAGGAGTGGAAGTATTACAGCATCTTCTAGAGCTGAAGCTGGATCTGCCCGCTGGTTTGCTGATTAAATGGAGATTAGAGTCCATTTCCCAGTGCTCTACTTCATCTCCTCTGGTGTCAGTATCTGGGTAACCCCATCTATCTGAGCGGCTATTAAAGTCTCTATTATACAGTATGTGTCATTAATTTATATATTTCAAAGTGCTAGATCTTTATTTGCTGGGCTAAATAAACTGTATAATGCGATTTTCTCTTCCTTTATCAAGATATCTATAATTTATGTTGCATTATTTGGGTCCAAAGGACAATAGTTTGGTATTGAGTTTCCAAAAAGTGTTAGAATTCCTTCCATGTACCCCTCTCAGTCAAAGCATATAGCTTGATATCCTCTGACTCAGAATCTGTGATGAGCATTGAGATATATCTCTTGGATGCATGCCACATCAATTTTTGTCTTCATAAAGGCATTTTATTAGAAACAGTTTTTTTTTTAATTTAGGACTACTTCAGCATTCCACTGTAGTATAGTGGGTGTCCTGTATGTCTGGTCAATAGCTTTTACCCTACTGCCCTGTGCCTTGACTCCACAGCACAGTGTTAGGTGCCCACTACTAGTTTTAGGCAGACCCATCCCTTCTAGGCACCATATCGATATATTTTCAATTGTGAAAATCATGAACTGAGATGAGGTGTCTCTCCTTCATCTGGCTCATCTCCTTCAAGCTGTCCAGCATGGCAGACCCTACCAGTAGCTAAGCTGCCATCAACATACTTTAGGGTTACTGGAACATGCCAGCTACTCGACTGCTTCAAGGTGGAGGGCATGTGCTATTTCATCGACAGACAACTAATAATTAGTTTGGAGCACTGGTAGTCAATTATCAACAGTCAGTATAAATACTAAATGATCTGTCTCCACAATGTCTTTACAACACTATACCAGGCACGGTTATGAATACCAGCATTAGAGAGAAAGTTGGAATCAGACCATGCTGGGATTATATTGACAGACAAAGAATGAAATGGTTCGGCCATCTAGTAAGAATGCAGCCAGACCAGACTGCATATAGACTTTTTACAGTAGAACATCTGGGAGGAAGGCGAGAGGAAGACCAAGAAAGAGATGAATAAATGGTGTAGGTACAAAAAATTCATCACTCAAGCCACCCAAGAAGTACATGACAAATATAGAAAACTACAACACTGGGTTACAATCTGGTAACAGTGAGATGACAAAAGAAGAAGAAGAAGTATAAATACTGGAAAATTAGTTTGTAACTTGTACCAAAATGAAGCATTTTTCATGGGCACATCAATCCTCTTCACATAAGGCTGTCAAAGCTGTCATGTTGACTTTAGTCAGTGGGCTCTGATCAGAAATGCTAATATTAACCATATGTCATTCATGTACATTTATTTGTGGACATTTTTAGTAAGATGGCGCCAGCACTGCAAATATGTCTGCTTGTTTATTACTTGCTTTAAAGAAAAAGAGAATCTTAGTCGAGGTTTCAACTTCACCGCAATCGGGTTTCCCTATACTTGCTCCGTTTCTGTGCCAGTGAAAATCAAATGCAATGTCCCTGTAGCCAAGAACTAAACTCAATAGCTCAGGCAGTGAAACGGTAGACTACCATCCTTATGTGGAAACTGCTTTAGCAAAGCGCTGTCAGAAGGAAAAATAACGTTGAAGCGTAACATTCTGCCAAGCCTTTCCTGCATTTTGGCCAGAAGTAGAATGAAATGTTCACTCCAAGAAAATGACTAAAGTAAAGACTATTAATTAGCATACACTAGTGACCACAAAACTACATGATTTTAGACCAGGAATAAAAGCAGTTGTGGACACCAACCAATGCTCACCATGTTAGCCAAATATTTAACTCCCTTGTCTTCAATGAAAACATCACTGCTGTTATCAGTTATATAGTGGCCAGCCTCTCGAGGGTTCAGTACACCTTTTAGGATTTCCATTGTTCTCCCTGATCTTAGCAAAGAACTCTGCTAAAAGAAAACAATGACCTGTGTTTGACACATTAGATGAACATATAACCGTATATAATATATAAATTGTTCTCTTTTAATGTCAGAAAGAGGGTGCTAAAATGTTACATAGAACCTGTTCTGCTGTATGGCAGCCAATCTTGGAATGTCAGTAAACAAATTAGGAAGAATTTGGAAGCAAGAGAGATGCGGTTTCTGAGAAGAATGTTACGAATACCTTGGAATGCCAGAGTAACTAACAACAATTGCTTGAAAGAAGCTAATGAAAGTAGGTCTCTATATACAAAAATAAAAGAAAGAGACAAATACTGTTCTTTGGCCACACAATGAAAACAGAGACATTGGAGAACATCTTGACAACTGGAAAGATAAGTGGAAAAAGGGGTAAAGGCAGACCAAGAGAGACGATGCTGAATGGGCTGAAATGATGGCATGGGAGGGACATTATCAAGAGAGCTGTTCCAGGCAACCAGGGATCGTGATGTATGGAGACACATGAGCGACTATGCCAGCTGGCAGAGCACACGATGATGATGAATATATAAACATCAAAGGATTCTCAATATTTACATGAAACACTGCAAAAAATGTGTGACTATGACCTAGGAAAAACAAACTAGGAATAGATTAGATGATAGCTCTACAGAACAAAACTAAAAGTACATTACAAATACAAAACTCTGCATTATGTTATTACTTTCATATCATGAGAAAATATAAGGCTATCTTATATCACTGTTTTAAATAACAAATTTCCAAAGCTAAACTATTTTTTAATATTACACAACAGGATTCCTACAATGTCTGTAAAATATATTTAAAAGTGTGTCTGTCTATCTACTGTCTTTTTCTGCTTAATGCTGTTAATGCTGTAAGGCATCGCCTAAAATATTATGATAAATTTCATTTTGTATTATTTATTATATTACATAATGATGGTGGAAATACAAAATCGTTATTGTAAAAAAAATGTACTAGAACTAGTAATGACTCAATCAATCAGGTGCCGTCTCCACACTGAAGGTTGGCCACAATGGAAACCCAACATGATCTGTCTATTGTCCTGATTGTACACTCTCTCAGATTGCTGTTCGTCCATCTCTTGATGTTGTCTTCCCAGATGTATCGTTGCCTACACCTTGCTCTTTTGCCTTCGTCTGTTCCCTCAAGTATGGTTTTTAAAAACTTGTTATGTCTTTTAATGTGGCCAAAGTAATTTTTGTCTCTATTTTTTTTTTATTTCTCTTTTCATGTGTAGTCTTTCAAGAAACTCTGTATTGGACTGTTTTTGTTTCCATGAAATATTATCTATTTTTCTACCCACATTTCCAGAGACTCAATTCTATTTTCTAGTTGCTTGTTCATTGTCCAAGTTTCTGCACCATACAGCAGGATTCAGTATACACAACATGTGAGGATTCTCATTTTTAGTGAATTGTTTCTCTCTCTAGCTGTCAGTAACTTGCCAATCTTACTTATAGAAGTTTAGCCATTCTTGTTTTATTTTGGATTTTTGTTTCACTTCTTAAATCACTTGTTACTACGTGTCCTAAATTATAGGAGAAACGGGTTACTTGTTCTAAAATCTCTCTGCTTACTGTGAGTTTCTTGTTAGTCGCACTTTCTATTGTTAAAATTACCATAGTTTTTTTTTTATTTTTGAATGTTAATGTCTAAATCATACTCTGCTCTCTGCCTGTCGACTTTCACAAGATCTTGTAACTGCTGCTCGCTTTCTGCCAGTAACAATCACAATGTGTCACCCACGCATCTCAGATTGTTATTGTTCTTCCATTAATTTTCAGTCCAGGCAATTCCTCAACTTGTTTATAAACGTTTTCTGTAATATAATTTTAAAAATTTAAAAAGCTGAGGGATAACAAACACCCTTGATGTACTCCTCTTTTAATCTCTATCTACAGCTATCTCATCTGTGGTGAGGTGATGTTGTGTCTGATTTTTTTTTTTTTTAATGTTTATTCATTAAAACAGTTCATATATACAAGAGGCAATAAACATAAACAACTCTTCTTTGTGTTTCACAAGGAGTTGCTATTTGTTTAAGGTCACTGTGTTTACAATACAATGTGCATTCATTACCTTTGCTACTAATTGTTGGAACCTTACGCCGAACCACATGACCTGTGACCTGTTCAGTGTTGCCACCAGTGTTGCCACTTTCCTCTGACAAAAAATATCCAAAACGGTGTCAAAAAATATCTAAAAAGATCTAAATCTGCGTGAAAAAGATCTAGAAAAAACATCCAAATTGAAAAAGTCAAAAATTACAAAGCTTTAGTTAGGACTTACCCTACATAATCATGTCCTCACCTTCACTGATGTCTGCCTCAAAACATCTGGATTTTCAGGAAGTCTCTGCTTCAATTGCTTCAGTAATGAGATAAGGAAATCATGACAGCGTTTTCCTAAGTTGTTCTCTTCCTTCTCTGTTAACAGTCCTTTTGTTTTTAAACCATCAATTTTTGATTCGATTTAATATCCAAGGTGTGGCTTAGGAGCTAAATAGCTCTCTATAGTGCAAGTGAGCAAATCAGCTTTAGAATTTGGCAACACCAGTCTTTTTACCGAGTGAAATAGCAAGGTGAGATCATCAAGTAATTTAACTTTATCAACAAGTTTAGATTCGAAAAGTTTATTAACTTTTTGCACTTCCATTAGAATAGGTTATAAAAAGAGAATGAATTACACATTTTTTTTCATCACTGTACATTCCATATAGTATTTCAGCTGTGTAGCACTTTTCACTTTGTCTTGTTATTTCAAAGTGTGTCTTCAACTTCAGCCATTGCTTCATAATTCTTTCAACAGCTTTTTAAATTGATAACCATCTAGTTTTGCAATCTGACAGAATTTTCGGTGGTGTGAAACCATCATTCAAGGCTATATATAATGTACTGTATTGCTGTTGTCTGACAAATGATTTGGAAAACCAGTAAAGTGTTTCAGCAATAAGGTATTCAAAATTCCTTGGTAAATATTCAGATGAAGCATGTGATAATGCTAGTTGCAATGAATGACGCATACATTTTTTAAGTATTAACGATGGGTTAGCTTCCTTTAACTTGGCATAAACGCCATTGTTTATACCAACCATCACTGAGGAATTATCGGCATCAATTACAGCCAAATTCTTCAAGCCTAACTGTTTGCTGATTAAAAGGTCCGTCAGTTCCTAAACTATACTTTCTACATCACACTTTTCAAACTGAACTAGTCCAAGATTTTTTTACAAATCGATCAAATGGTCACAGTTTGAATTTGCGCAGTGATAAATTAAAAACATTGCGACTGATACTTCAACGTTTGATGATTCATTTATCAGTATAGTTCTGAAAACAAAAGTCGGCGGTTTAATATCTTTAAATGAAACTGCAGTTTTATGCTTTTTTTAGTCTCTGCATGACTCTTTGAGTTTTGTATTTTCGCTTTAATTTCACACTTGCAGTACTTACAACAAGCTTTGGTCATATCCCCAGTTTTTAATTTGGTCATCATGCAACCACCCTTTCCAAATTTTTTGCTCATACTTTAGTTTTGGCATGTTGAAAGGTTTTTTCAAAGTGAAAGCCACATAAGAAGGTGAGCAATTATTTGTTTTTAAATAACATGAAAAAGAAACGCAAAGTCAGCACAGTGAGGATACAGTTGAAACAAAGTTAGTATGATTTACACGCGGTTTTATTAATCAGTACCGGGGCTGCCAGATATTTGTGCGTTGACCCCAGTGAGAGTTCAAAGTTAAAGTAATGGCAGTTGTCACAATGTACGTGCCAGACCAAAACAAATATATTGTAGTAAATATTTTACACAGTAAATATTAAATTGACAATGAAAGAAAAAATCTATAAAATATCTAACTCCATGTGAAAAGTATCTAGAAAATTATTTACGATCTAAACGTCAAAAACAGTATCTAAAGGCAATAAAAAAGATCTAAATTTAGATATAAAAAATCCAAAGTGGCAACACTGGTATCTGCTATAGGTATGTACAGGGGCGCCGCAACAGGTATGCTCAGACACCTAAAGGCCTTGCACCCCTCCCCCCCCCCCCCCCCCCCCGCCGTTTCCACTCCAGTATGTTTATGAAAAATGAGCGGCCGCCGCCTCCAGTATATTTATGAAAGCTGAGCACAACTATTCCCCCCCCCCCCCCCCCCCCCCCCCCGCACCCCCCTTTTCCGCCCATTTCCTATAAAATAATTTTAAAAGAGGGCTGACTGTCCTCACGCCAGCCTTGTATTATGTTCAAAAACTGGAAACGCATAGTTATCTAAGGTGCGTTATTTTTTTTAAAAAATGTGTCGGATGTGTCCAGACCCCATTCTACACATTTGACCACGCAGTTCCTAGCTGCCAATGATATTAAAACCCTTTCCTAGTCATCCCTGTCTGCAGACTTGAGTCCGCCGCACGGACGCCGCCGGACGGACGCCGCCGAACGGACGCTACCAGACGGACCCAGCTGGAGGGGCGACGCTAGACGGACGACGCGGGACGGACGCAGGCGAACGGACGACGCCGTGCAGTCAATGCCGCACGGACGCCGCCGGACGGGCGCCGCCGGACCGACCTAGCTGGACGACGCCAGACGGACGACACGGGACGGACGCCGCCGCACGGACGCCGATGGACGGGCCCAGCCGTACGGACGCCGCCGGACGGACCCTGCTGGACGGGTGACGCCAGACGGACGCCGCATGGGGACGCCACCGGACGGACACTGCTGGACGGGCGACGCCTGGCGGACGACGCGGGATGAACGCAGCCGTTCGGACGACGCCGGACGGACGACGCCGCACAGACGACGCCGGACGGACGACGCCGCACGGACGACGCCGTACGGACGACGCCGTACGAACGCCGCCGGACGGACGACGCCGTGCAGACAATGCTGCACGGACGCCGCCGCACGGACGACGCCGGACGGACGCCGCCGTACGGACGCTG